AGCGCGGGGCCTGAGCGGTGCCGCGGGGATCGGGCCGGTGTGCGGGCCGTGGGGCCCCCGGGGCAGGTGCGTCTGGAGCTGCAGCCATCCCGGTGCATGGATGGAGCTGCTGGCACCCAAGGGTGGTGCTGCTTGCACCCCACCAGCGCATGGAGGGTGCTGGGGTGCTTGTAGCCATCCCAGTGCGTGGATGGAGCTGCTGGCACCCATGGATGGTGCTGCTGGCACCCCACCAGCACATGGAGGGTGCTGGGGTGCTTGCACCCATCCCAGTGCACGGGTGGTGCCACAGCAGTTGCACCCATCTCGGTGCACAGAGAGGGTGCCGGGGTGCTCACGTCCATCCCTTAGCCTGGCTGGTTGCAGCCATCCCGGTGCACGGTTGGTGCCAGGGCGGTTGCTGGTGCACGGATGGAACCCGGGTGGCTGCGCCCATGGCCGGGGCGTTAGCTCTCGTCAGCGCTTTGCTCCCGTTGCATTGCCCCAAGCTGGGCCGTTTCCAGCGCCCGGAGCGCTGTGCACTGCGCCGTGCCGGGTCTCGCCCCGGCCTTTGCTCCACAGGGCTCGAGCAGCAGCCTCCGCCTGCCCGGCCTCCCCGTGTCGCTGGCACCGCTGGCCTCGTGCTTCGCTCCTGCCCAGGGCTGCAGCACCGCTGAGCTGCTGGCACGGCCCGTGCGCCCGTCTCCTTTGCCCCCGCGCCCGGGTGCAGCCGGAGCCGAATCCGGGGCACCTGAGCGGCTGCAGGCCTCGGCTCGTCCCGGTTCCCGGTGGGACCGTCCACGCACACGGAGCAGAGCCGATTTGGTGCAGAGCTGGTTCAGCACGGCGCTGGTTCAGCACAGCTCCCCTTTGCGTCAGGTTGGAAGCACTGGGGGAGCCAGGTGGGCACCCCAGGAGTCTCCAATCCCCAGCATCTGGGCACAGCTTTAGGCTGGTGCTTCTCTGTTCCCTGAAACCATCACCTGAACGTGCTTTTTCTCCCCCAGAACCCGGACATCACCATTACCAACAATGTGCTTTATTTCAAAGGTAGGCGGCTGCTTCCAGGTTGTTTTTCCTGCTGCTGGGTGGGCGGGCGGCCCCAGGGGTCCCACACATCCCCCTTCTCGAGCTGTGCTTGGGGCCTGGGCTGCTCACACGCATGGACAGGTCCCGAATGTGCCCACGGAGCGTCCTAGCTCATGTTGGGACAGCAGGTCCTATCTTATCTAATAAGAAAAAAAAGCAAATGCTCCCCGTATTTAAATGTCACTGAAATTTCCCTGTGGCCACTGCCGGCCTCTCTGGCCATGCAGGAGATAACCCCCAGCAGCGTTTCCTTCTGCAAAGCCCTGCTTTGCAAGCGTTATCAGCCCTCCGCATCGGGAACGCGCGCCCCATTTGAAAGGTAAAGCAGATCTGGCCTAAAAGGGAGTTTTGTTGGGGCCCGACCGCAGCACCGTGGTGCTGGTGAGCCAGGGTGGCGCGGAGGACGCACGCTGGCTGCTTTGGTGCCTGTCTCCTGGCCTTTTCAATGGAGACGCAGCGGCTAATAAATAGCGACTCCGCGGTGAGCTGCAGCCAAGGCCACTCGATAGGGTTTTGTTTCAAAACTCGGCTCCGTTTACAGCGTCTCCCGGTAAAAGGCTGGAGGTGCCACGTGGTGGGTGGGTTTGGAGCCATCCTGCACACGGGAGCTTTTCCAAAGGACCAAAGCTGGGTTGCACGCCGCGTGTTCCTGCCTATACGTTGCCCTGCAGCTGGGGGCCGGGGACCCACACCGCTCCCGCGCTGACA